TTTTATCCCCGATGTACCGGTAGAAGCTTTTCCTGTTGCCCTTGATGTCCCTGGCCAGATTTAATTCTATCAGGGCTTTAGCTTTCCTAACCTGATCCCTGTCTGCTCGGTCAATTCCTCTGTATTCCTCCCAGGCTACCTGTCCTTGCTTCCACCCTCTGTAGGCTTCCTTTTTGTGTTTGAGTTTGTCCAGGAGCTCCTTGTTCATCCTTGCAGGCCTCCTGGCGTTTTTGCCTGACTTCCTCTTTGTTGGGATGCATCACTCCTGAGCTTGGAGGAGGTGATCCTTGAACATTAATGAGCTTTCTTGGACCCCTCTTCCCTCCAAGGCTTTGTCCCATGGCACTCTACCAAGCCAAAGTCTGCTCTCCTGAAGTCCAGGGTAGTGAGATTGCTGTGCGCCCTCCTCAGTGCCCTAAGGATCTTGAACTCCACCATTTCATGGTCACCTTCCTTTCTGCATCCAGAAACCAAGAAATCAAGTTTAACATCTGCAGAATGACAGACTGGCTTAAAAAGGAACAGTTCAGAAGGGCTTTGGTCTGGGTTTTTTTGGTAGATAATCACTTCAGCAGAAGTTCAGTACCACAGTACAACAAAAATAGATTAATATAATGAAGGCAAATTTAAGAGATGAGGTTAACATTACAGGGAAAAGTAATCTTGACTCAGTTGTCTTCATAGCAGCCCCGCCATATTAAATGCAGTATTTAGCTCTAAGACTATGATTTCCAGAAGTATAATGAATTTAAAAAGCTGAAGGAGGAACACAAAACATCGCACTTCAGATTTCAAACTGGACATACTGAACCTTGAAATTAGATGCTAACTAAACTGCAAAGATCATTAAGTATTACAAACGTTGTAACAGAGAAGGCTGTGGACACATCACTTAGAGTAATTTAAAAAGAGAATTAGATAGCTTTTTATGCTATGCTTTAACACATTTTCAAAGAGAAATTTTACAGCCTCGATGACGGTAATATAAGAGTCCAGTCACACTTCACAATTTTACTTGCACCTGGTTTTTAAGTTTGTGAATGAATCCTCCACCATTATTCTATACTACCTTCACATAAGAAGCCTGTGCTGTCTTTAGCATTCTTTACTTCTACAGCTACACATCAACATGGTGATTATAATTATACTGCATGCTTCAATCCTAGACATTACCTTGACCACAACGAAAGTGAGAGGGATCTGGATACACTAGAAGCCTAAATCACTTATAGCAATTAACAATTTGAATCTACACTTTACTCAATCTCCCCTAGTGCTTGGAAGATTTTTCCCTTATCTCCCAGGGTAGGCTGGCAGACTTGGTTTTTGGAAGAATGAATGCACTAATATTATGCCACAGCACAGAGTGAAGTAAGATTTTTTTTTTCTACCTGCTGAGATCGTAAGAGTATTTAATCTAATCCGTCCCCTTTCACTAAAGAGTCCTCCGACAGTAGTTGACAGCTTTGTCCTCCTGTTCTATGCCAGGTTTAGCAAGAACAACTAATTACTTTGGCTTACTCCGGAGAGTATAATTTTAATACTAAAACATGTAGATGAAACCTCAGTGCCACATGTCGTAAGAGAAATGATTCTCTGTTTTTAAGTTCTATGGAGGCATACTACCATTCTGAATGCAGTGAGAGACAATGGCTGAGTGTGCTTTTAAGACTAGATGGCACTAGGAGGAAGTAATAACTAAACAGAAGTTTCCGTAGGTGCGCTGACTTGTAGTTACCACATCGCAGTGCAAAACTTTGTCAGGTTGCTACAACCTCTAAGTACTCCTAACAGGAAATCTGTTTACAACAGCAATCAGTCAATTTACACTAGCAGATACGAAGAATGGCTGCAACTAAGAAATTCAGAAGTTAAAACTGCCGTTTATTCATGTCAATAAAAACACAAGTTATTTCATAAAAATGTACCATAAAGTATAAGAATAAATGATATTTTTTAAACCAGAAGACACACTAAGGAAAGAGACTGTCTGGAAACTGACATCTGTTTAAAAAAAAAAAAAAAAAAAAGAGGGCCCAAGCAGGGGCTTGCTCCAGAAAGTCAGAATAATGATTTATAAGTAGCATCCAACATTTAAAAAAAGGAGCCTGCACAATGGGATTCTGCCTACGAAATAAAGCTAATTACTCAAAAAACAGTCACATAGATGAGAGTGTTTTAGCATTAAATCTCTTTCATTTGTAATTTCAAACCTTTGTACAATTAAATTGACAGTGTCTGAGCACAGATAAAGTCTGCTGAATTGAGTGTTAGTTTGAATACAGGCACTGTTTAATCACAACCTCAAACCACAACCTGCCATGTTTCTGTTAACACAGCTTGACATTAGGAGCTAAATGATAAAAAAAGGCTAAAACACCGATTCAGCGTCATCTTACCCCAGGCTCCTGTCCTCACTGAGTAAACTGTCTCCATGTATCAGAAGACAAACAGAGCTTTAGAACTTAATCTCTAAACTATGGGTAGTGTTTGTTTTCAGTATCTATTAATGAGTTCTTAGGATTTGAAGAAAAAGGTTGGTTATAAAGAACTAAAAAGAGCATCATGGATGAAGTTTTTCTAGATGCATGATTTATTTTTCATTATTCCTTTTGACTTCCTGTATTTTAGGACTGTCAGTTTAGTTTTAATGTCTTTTTGAGGTTCTCACTTATATTGGAACAGACTTCTTGCACTAGTCTGGGAACCAGGGGATGTGTTGGGGTCAATGAAATGGTCAGAGCTCCGTTACATCAAGCAAAGACAAACAGAGAACAGCTTCACCAAGGGATGGCAAAAAAACCCCCACCACAACAACTTGCTGCCTTCCTGACTGCCCTGCAATGCATGGGTTTGGCTATTTCATACACAATTTAAGGTCCCTGCGATGGCTAGAAGTGCTAAGGAATGGGTAAGATTTGTTCAGTTCTTTGACTCCCTTTTTCAGTAAATAGGCACTTTCCCATTTTCAGTAATGGATCATTTTAAATATTGTACAATATACAAACAGATCAAGATATGTATTATCCTCTGTACTTCCAAAAACTTAATAGAACTTCAAGGCCAGCTTCCTTATACACCTTTATAAATAATTTTTGAGGGATCTGAATAATGACTTGGAGAAAATATTTATAGAATCATTGCACTGATTACAAGGCTGTACCTCATGTTAGTTCAAGGAATAGAGCATGCAGTATACATTTAAATACCAAATAGAACAATGAACAAAACACAACAAACAGAACACTAAAGTATGTAAGAGAAGAAAGTGACTTGATACATGTCAGCAATATTAAAATATCAGTGAAGATCATACTTTTTGGTTTCAATTGGAAAAAATGCATTAAAAAATTGTTGAAAAAGCAAGGTTAATCTTTCAATTTTAACATGCTTATAGTTAATTTCCTAAGGACAAAGAAATAGTTCTTAATATTGAGGTTCTGTTTTTTAAATTGTATCTTCTTATGGTCACTGACATCATCAGTAGGCAAAATCTTCTGAAACCAACCATGTAAGCAAAAACCTTTAGTCCAAGAAATTTGCCCAAATAAGGGAAAGAAACGGTAGAGCACTTCAAATTCTATTCTTGTTAAGTTCATTATACAAACTGATTTTAATACAAAGCTTTAACAAATCAAATCAGAATATACTTCAATACAGTAATTCTATTATACAGAACCCTTAATGTGCTAGCTAACAAGGAGAATGAAAAATGATAAGGGGATATTCACATTGCAAATTTTAGATATCTAACCCTTATTGTACTGCAAGCAGAAAGGGTTAAGCTTCTTCCAAGCAACAATTCAGACCATTTGGGTTTGGATACATTCTTCACAAAGATATAATGAGTATAAAATTAGTCACCTAAAGCCTGAGGGTACAAACATACTATTTCACTTGGTGTATTTTTTTTTTTTTATAATCTGTGCTAAATTTTCTCATAGTCTGTGTTTTAGTTCTAGTCAGAAGCTTGTAATGTTTATTTCATATCCCAGTTCTTTAATTCAAATCTCAAGCATCTGACAAGAAAAAGAGAATAGCATAGAAAAGACACTGAACTATCCATTTGTCTTTCCACAGAGTCCTCAAAATTGCAGATGCTATTAAAGACTTGCAACACTAAATCCAGTCCTGGAAGACAGAGTCATCTTGTAAGTCCGCTTTTGAAGGCATCTTGGGGACCAACTGGGCAGGGTGAGGTAACACCTGGGACACTAGATTTAACAGCAAGATTTATCCAAAAAGTACCTGTGGTCAATAAAAAACTAAGTTTATCACCAAAGACCTGAATTTCAAGAATGAGTTCTCTCAAATGCCTCTCAATGACAGTAGTCAGGATTGCCTGAAAAAGCAGCTGACATTGAGAACTGTGATGGCATAGCACCTCTAAAAAGGGGCAGAAACTGCAACTTGGTCTGGAACCTGAGGACTGTTCCTCAGCTGTAGTTGCCTTATGCTCTCTGTGATGACAACTGGAGGGGAAAAAAAAAAAAAGACAAAAGAAAAGAAGAAATTTTAGCATTTGTTTGAAGTTTGCCACATCAGTGGGAGGTTCTCATTACAATTCTAACTAAATTTGTGCAGCATTTGGAACTGGAAAAATATTTATCAGGTAAGTCTCTGTTCAGTAAATTTCACTCCTGAATGTGTTCAGATGGGCAAAGGTATTACTTCAACATCTTATCTTGTATTAACACACAATAAGCTACAAAAAACCAAAAGTAAATAAATTCTGAAGTTGCACATTAAGATTTGATTTCCTTTACAAAGTACCCTTTCCAAATAAAATTGCGTGTGATCAATAATTATACCGGGATACAAACAGCTTTAGCTAGATGTCTTTATGGAATATCATTGCTCGTATCTTACACTTAGGCCTAAATTCAAGAAGTTATGAATAAGAAGAAATTTCAGGAATAAATGAATAAAGCAAACTGAAAGTCAACCCTTTCTTACCAGCAGG